AATTTTGATGGAACAAAATGGTGATTTCCTTAAAATAAAAAGATACATTTAACTACTGTCTTAAAGCAAGTACCAGCATTTCTGAATAAGGAACTTGGCCATAAAATAATGCTGCATAAAGCATCGTGCATAAGAACATTGCCAAAGCATTCAGAGATGTTGCAGTAGTCTTCAGAATAGAATTGGTTCTAGAAGCCAAAGATCTGGGAATGACACTCAATCAAAATCAACAGCCTGGAATCAGTATCTAGATATAATACAAGATACACTCTCTCTGGCTTCCAACCCCACAGCATTTAAGCAGAAACTACCTTTCTGGGCATAAGCATCTGAGAGGTAAACATCCCTACTGGTGAAAAAAAGCAAAGAGCTTCCCATCCATAAATGCAACCTCCATTTTATGACCCAACGCCAAAATTAATTTCCTAGCCATGGGCAAAGATCACTCACAGAGTTTCAGATCTGAGTAGACTATTTTCCAATGCCCCACCACACACACACATACACAGAAGGATGGCCCTGGACACAGCGTACATAAAATATAACACAAGCGGGAGGTCTGGGAATCCTGGCAGATTATGCCCACAAATAGCAAATTCCAATGGAGGTTGAGCAAGCAAGATTAAGATTCAATGCCCTAACAATTAGAAAGAGGCCAGGGATTTATCCACCTGTCCTTCGGAAGTACTTTCCACTGACAGCCATGATCACTCTCCCCATGACTCTAGTCTGCTTTTCTATTGCTGTGATTAAAAATACCTTGAGGGAGAAAGAGTTTATTCGGCTTCTGGGTTCCTGTTTACCATGGGGGAAAGACACCTTGGGAGCGCAACGCAGGAACTTGAAGCAGAAACCACAGAGAAAAGCTGCTCATTGGCTTGATCTCTACACAACCCAGGCCCACCTGCCGAGGATGGCACTGTCCACGGAGGGCTGGACCTTCCTACATACACCAGCAATCAAGAAAATGCTCTACAGACATGTATACAGGTCAATCTGATAGAGGCAGTTCCTCAGTTGAGAGCCCCTCTTCCAAGTATGTCCAGATTTGTGTCAAGTTGTCAAAAATTGAACCAGCACACACAGTGTTTTTGAAATCTGCTAAATTTGGCTAGCTGGTTCTCCCTCTAGCCTGCTCCAAACAGAGAATTAACTAGACTCTAACTATGGTTTCCCCATGTGTCTGGTGAGGCAGTTTGTTTTAGGGACAAGCACTCAGTCAAATTTGTTATTTCAGTGTTCTTTCATGGCAATTATTAGTTACCAATAAAGGCAAAGATGGAGGTAAAGACATAGTATTTCTAAAAGTGTATCTTATGCATGTACTAAAGATAAAGGAATATGCTCAACTTAGCCATGCAGGAGCAGGCACCAACCGTGCCACACTGACTCTCATTGGTTATTTTCAGACACGTTAAATAGAGCACAGAAGGGAATCATGCGTCACTGGGTGCACTTCTGTAGAGGGACAACTGCCAACGATAGCTTTCTCCATTTGTAATGTGTACAGAGTCCAAGGTCGCGGCGAACTGATCGCCTACCGCGGAAAGGAAGATAACTCTACATATAGTTGTTCCCATGGCATTCATTTTTACATCTTTTTGAGATTTTCTTTTCTTCTTAATTAACTGTTTAGGTAACAATACTAAGAACTGGGATTCACTGCAGGTTCTTCATACATATGTCTCCTCACACTTTGTTCTCGGTAATTTCCTTCTCTACTGTTCCTATGTGCTTCTCGCCCCCAGAGCTGGTTCTCTCTCTACCTGGGTTAGTTCTCCACTCTTGCTTCCCAAGTATGTGTATTTCATCATTATGTTTTATGCCTCCATTAAGATATCTTCCTCTCTTCTCATGATCCCTTTTCTAGACTCATGACCTAAAAACACATGTTTAAATAATATAAGGAGAGAGAGAAGCGGGGGAGAGAGAGAAGGAGAGAGAGAGAGAGAGAGCACTACAGGTCTGTCTCATATGGTCTTTATGTTAAAGTACTTTCCTTTTGTTCCTGATGTCTTCAAGGCTTTCATCCATAAAGAGATGCTGAACTTTGTCAAAGGCCTTTCCTACATCAATTGAGATGATCATGTAATATATCTTCCTAAGTATATGTAGATGATGGATTATACTTCATAGTCTTAGTTGGGGTTTCTATTGCTGTGAAGAGACACCGTGACCATGGCAACTCTTATAAAGAAAACATTTAATTGAGGGTGGTTCACTTACAGTTTCCGAGGTTCAGTCCTTTATGTCCATGAAGGGGAGCATGGCAGCATGCAGGCAGACATGGTGCTGGAGCTGAGAGTCCTACATCTTATAGGCGACAAGAAGTCAACTGACTGTCACACTGAGTGAAGCTTGAGAAACGAGACCTCAAAGCCCGCCCCATAGTGACACACTTTCTCCATTAAGGCCACACTTCCTAACAGTGTCATTCCTTTGGGGGCCATTTTCTTTCAAACCATCACATTAATGATTTGTGCATGTTGAACTAACAGAAATGAAGGCCCATTGCCTGTGGCTCACAGATGAATTGCCAAGGGTTGGAGCAGTATAAAGGCTTCCTGCTATCAGATGTATAGGAAGAGCTAATAAAATACTTACAAGTCAGTAGATTAAGTGTGTGTTCTAACTTGGATTTAGAATTAATTGTCAGATCAGTGGTCCCTTTTGGCCAGAATGACTCAAAGAAATCAACTAAACCTTACCTAAATTATAGCTGCAGATTTCTTAAGTCTAGGACTTTTTATTCAATCATTAAAAAATAATTCTCCTTTTGTCATACAAGCAGAATGATACATGTCAAAGGAATGGCCATACCAATCATTTTAGCCCCTGACTGAGACCACAGAAGGGTTGAATGTACCTAATAGCTCACATGGTCCTGGGGGTAAACACAACTTTAATTCCACTCAACAAAGTACACAGTTTTGGTAAAGCCAGTAAGTAAATATGGCATGGACTAGAGGCCTCACAAACACTCATTCTTCCTTTTATCACCAGTACGTGCTGCTGGACTTTGGGTTCTTAGCTCTGGAACTCCTGCTGTGTTTTAAGAGCAGGTGTTCCTTTACCACCTGCCTTCTGAACCAAAGATGGGACAGCTGTGTTTAGTCATAGGCAGATGCTTTCAAAACACCTGGACCAGATAACGAGTATTTGTCTCTCTGCTACTAAAAAGGACTGTTTGCAAATTTCAGTAACTGGAGCCACATAATGAGGCTGAAGGCAAAAATGGAAAATTAGTAATTAAAAAAAACTATAATAGAACTTGTGTCATTGGTTTTAGGGAGAAACACTGAATAATACTTTTGAGTTTTTAATACTTAGTCAATGATTAGTCTCTTGACACTTCCATACATGTGTGTAAAACATTCTGATTGTTCTCACTCTACCCTTTCTTAACTCCCTTCTGCCAACCCCTATCCCTCCCACAAATCCTTTTCCTATAGTCAACTCTTTTTATTTTGCGTTGTGACCCATTGAGCTTAACCAGGGCTGTCATGGGTTTTGAACTGTCGATTTGGACCTGGTAGGATCACCAATGGCTCCATAAGTAAAGACAATGACTCTTCCTCTCCCGGAATCTATCTGTAGCTCTTAGTTCAGCATAGAGGGGATGTAGTAGTTTGAGTGAGAATGGCTGCCATAGACACATATCTCTGAATACTTGGCTTCCAGCTGGTGGAACTGTTTGGGAAGGATTAGGAGGCGTGGCTTAGTAGGAGGAAGTATGCCACTAGCGGTTAGCTTTGAGGTGTCAAAAGACTTGCACCATCCCCCCTGTGCTCTCTATTGCCTGCTTTGCACTTTGAGATGTGAGCTCTCAGCTGTTCATGCTGCCAGCCCTTCTCTCCCCCATCATGGACTCTAAGCCTCTGAAACCATAAGCCCAATTAAACTCTATTTCTTTATGAGTTGCTTTGGTCAGGATGTTTTGTCAAAGAAATAAAAAAAGTGACTAATACATTGAGTAGAGCCCCAAGAAGCCCTCCCACATCCACGAATGATTATGGACAGAGCCAGTCTTGAGCAGGCCCAGTGCAGGCAACCACAGGTGCTGTGAGTTCCTGATTGCAGTGTCTGTGCCCTGCCCAGAAGTTAGCTTTTCTTGGCTCTTCTCTCTATCTTTCAGCTCTTGCTGTATAGATATTTTTTTAAGGATGGAAGTAAAAGGTTTGTTTTATCTTAGGCACCTTGCACCCTTACAGAAACTCTAAAATAGAGAGCTTACAAAAACATCTAGTGTTCTTATGATGGTTTAATCAATCCATATAAAATGGAAACTAGAGCCTTCACTTTCTTCCTTGTCCCCTGTCATTACTGAAGCATTGTCAGCTCTTTCAATTTGGGTATTCTCCTGGACACATCTTTAATCCAGCTACCCACCACAGAAGGAGTCTCCTTCAGGGCGGCAGCCTATAAACCCCAAGTCCTCCTGCCATGGTGCATCTGAGTTCTGCTGGCTTTGTGAATTTACCAGGTCATTAGAAAGTAGGCATCTCTTCATCTCTTTCATTATATCAGGCCCTCAATAAAACCTTGGTCCTTCTGATAGGCCTCCAACTGCTGCCCATCCATTTAAAGTCTTCCTAAAGACAACATCAAGTTGTTTTAAGCCATTCATGCTGGCGATGTTTTCAATGCAGTTTATACACAGTGAACAACCTCTCTCAGTCAGCAAGTGGATAGGGAGGTGTTGGAAAGAACATTAGGGTAATTCCTATGATAAACGCATTAGCCAGCTCACACAGAGGACAATGTTCACATTTCTTTTAGACTGTATGTCCATCCACATCTGCAGCATCTCCATGCCTAAATAAACAGGAAGAGAAAGGGAAAACCTAATGGGGGAGATGGATGTAAAAGCATACAAACAACTTTTTATAATGTGCACAGCTGCAAAGAAAGTGCAGGGATGGGAGGGGTTCATAACCTACTTCTGTGCTTTAAACAAATCAGGTCAGATGACTAGCCAGATTCATCTCATCGGTACTCACAGATCATATAAAAGATGGACCTTATAGTCATAATTCTTGAGGGGGTTCTTAAGCAACGGCTCCATGTGGCAACTGAATGAGGTCAAGTCCCCTTTCATCCAGCACTCGATGTCCCAGTTTATACCTGCATTAAAAATAAGCTGCATTAAGCTGGGCAGTGGTGGCACACGCCATTAATCCCAGAACTCTTGAGGCAGAGGCAGGCGGATCTCTGTGAGTTCGAGGGCAGCCTGGTCTACAAGAGCTAATTCCAGGACATACTCAAAACCTACAGAGAAACCCTGTCTTGAAAAACCATCAATAAATACATACATAAAAATAAAGTGCATTAAACCTGAAAAACACTCTCAACAACCCAGTCAACGAGAAGCACTAAACTGAATTTAACAGTGTTCTGATACTATTTCCACTGCCCACTCTGAGAGGGGGGAAAACAGGCTGTTTGGAGTGTGTAGGCCTAAGCCATTCAGGGCCTTCAATCCCTCTGCTCAGTACCTCAGTGTTCCCCCTACCCGCCTTGCTCCAACCTGTTTTAAATCAGAGAATTAAATTCAATTACCATTTCTCAACTTGTTTTTAATCTCAAGCTACTTAAGCAGGACAAGACTCACTTTTATTTATCTTAGGTCAACAGATCAAGACAACAACCTGTAACCACTTGTAACTCCAGAGCCCCAGGACCCAAGGTCATCTTCTGGCCTCCACAGGCAACCAAACACATGTGCCATCACACACACACACACACACACACACACACACACACACACACACGCATGTGCGTGTGTGTAAATAAAAGTTAAAGTAAATCTTTTAAAAAATATATGACTAACAAGGCAAAACTGACAACACTAACAGTTATTATAAGAAGTATTTCTAGCTTTTGGGGACCTTGTGTGAAGGAGAAACCTATATGAAAAAAGAACAAATTAAAATCCTTGTAAGCCACTACTTACTCTCCTAATTTTAGTCACAAAAACTTTAGTTCACTTAAATGTTAACTAGTTATTATCCACTTATAAAGTTGAAATACATAGTATGGTAATGATTTCCCCTCAGAAATAAAGAATGTAGTGGCATTTTTTATCATTCAAGACTCATTATTAAGATCTTGTTCAATCTTAGTATACTTAATAATCAATGGATCAGCTAAGCTATTCCCTTAGCAATCAAAAAGCTTCAACATTTATGAACTCTATTGGAATTATTCCTACTAATTTGTTTTTAAAATCAAGTTTTACAAAAAAAATAAGTTTTAAAGCTGGGTGGTGGTGACGCATGCCTTTAATCCCAGCACTTGGGAGGCAGAGGCAGGCGGATCTCTGTGAGTTCGAGACCGGCCTGGTCTACAAGAGCTAGTTCCAGGACAGGAACTACAAGAGCTAGTTCCAGTTCCAGAAAACCACAGAGAAACCCTGTCTCGAAAAACCAAAAAAAAATAAATAAATAAATAAATAAGTTTTATCATTATTCTTTTTGCAATGATTTATTTTATCTCTCTCTCTCTCTCTCAGTGTGTGTGTGTGTGTGTGTGTGTGTGTGTGTGTGTGTGTGTGTGTGTGCCTGCATGATTTTAAGTGCACCAAAGGCATGCATGTCCACAGAGGCCAGAAGAGAACTTCATATCACCTAGAACTGGAGTTAGAAGTAGCTGTGAGTCTCCTGATGTAAGTGCTAAGAACCAAAACAGGTCCTTTGCAAACGCAGCAAGTGCTCTTAACCACTGAGCCCCCGAACCCAGGTCCCCTGTGAGAACAACAAGTGCTCTTAACCACTGAGCCATCTCTCCAATCCTTTCTTACTCTTAAACTGATTTCAACTTAGGATGCTTTTTCCTTTGTAAAGTGCTAAACCAGGTAGATGGGGAACATCTGACAATATCTAAAGATTTCTTTTGTTTGGTTTGCTGTCTCACTTCATAGCCCAGGCTGGTCTGGAACTCACAGTCCTCCTGTCTTTGCCATTCATGTGCCACAATGACAGGCTCGAGATAGATATTACAGTTACAGATAAAGATATTTCTTTCAGTACTGTGTAGAGACCAGGGCTGGTCAGACTAAAGAATTATCTGGACTGAAGGGTCATTAATATCAACTGGAAAATCCAACTAACACCACACAAGAGTCCTTACTTAGGTATGCCTATTCTTCCCTATTTGGGGGTCTTTTCATATAATTGAGCCAGTTGAGTCTTCTCTGTCCCTTCAAAAGACTTAAAAATAGTTTTGCTGTTTTAATTTTCATATACAAAACTAACTAAGCTTGCTGCTTTCCGTATACATTATTCTTAAGACAACAATTAAACTCACTCAGCATAACATATGGTTTCGGGGAGATTCCTTGCCTGCACAATTCATTATAATTTTAAACATTTTGAAATTTCACTACTTCAACAGTGGTGTTAGTAGTTTGATATTTTATCTATTTCAAATGTGCATTTTTTTTTGCTTCCAAGAAAATTTAGACTCCAAAGAGCACATTTACAAGTAAATAGTTCCCTTAATGGTAGTTTTGCAAGCTATAAAAATGAGCAGAGCATGTTTATTTGTCACACTATGAATCCTAATTTTAAAACTATATAAAAGTTATAATGCATGTTAATCACATAATAAGATAGCTAATTCATACAAGCTATGGATAATTAAAACATTTTGACGGATACAGGCATAACACAACAGTGTAGACTTGGGACATGAAAGTACTTACCTAGCTGGCGAAAGACTAAAGCCTTTACCGTTGAAGCCAGCGTCTTCCCTTCGGTTTTACTTGCTAACACAGAGCAGTTTGTACCTCGCTCAGTCCCCAAGCAACAGTGGAAAACGGTTTGGGATGACTCAGACACGTAGACACCACTTGCGTTAAAGCTAGCTTCGACATCTGCTTCATAACCCCCACTCAAAGCAGGAGCACTCTTTGGGATTCTGGCAGGTGAGAGAAAGGCGTCCCCTGTTGCGTTTGGTGGTGCACAAAACAACTTAAATCTCCAGGGAGCAGCTGGATATGCCAGGTGAAGTGCAGCTATCCCATAAAGAAATTCTGTTCGGACAGGAAAAAGACACAGGACAAAAGTGACCATTTTGACAAAGATGTAACTAGAAAATGCTTGAGACTAAACGGTGCAGTCCTCAGAAATACTTAACCTTCAAGCGAATAAGTCTGAGCTTCCACCTCCCAGGGCATCAGACTTGAGAACTTGATAGATTTACTGGACTAATTCCATTCTTTGGCACCTCTGCTTTGGAAATTCATGCATCAATTTTCTTTGTTAATCTAGCAAGTTTATATTTTAGCATGAGAAAATTTACATTAATTTTCTTCCTTTTTATAGTAAAATTATTCTTTTAGAATAAATAAGAAATATCTGGATGTTTAATGATATCAATAAGGACTAAAGCACTCTTAATCTCCATGAGAAGGATCACGACAGTATGTTAATGCTTTCGGAGAAAGTTTGTCTCTAACTTAAAGAGAGTTGCAAGGTCTCTTGAACTTTCTCAGGAGTCTCAAGATGTATAATATCCTATAAGAAAATCCCCAGGAAATGATGCAAAACAGTCCTTCCGGGAAACTCACACTGCAGGTAAATCACTACCTTTTCAATATAGACCTAAGAGCATCTGCAGCCCTATACCCAAAAAGCTGCAAATTTCAAGCTGGTCTTTAAGTAAGAAATTCTTGAAAATAAACAATTAACTCTCTACTTTTCTTCATTTTACAAATGAATCTGAATAATTTGATGACATCCTCGCTGTATACATTCCTTAACGCAGTGTGAGAATTCTTAGAATTGTGTGTGGAATGAGAGCTTTTGAAGAATTAAATGCAACAAAGTGTAAAGAATGTTCTTTGGTTTCCCAATGGATAAAGTGAAGAATTCAGACAAAGGCATAATATTCAGTTCAAAGGAAAAGAATAAAACCAAGCAATGAAAAGACACAGGAAATGTACACATATATCCTTAAGAAACCATCACGAGGACACAATCTGCATGAATCCACCAAGGATACTGGTTGCCAGGATTTAAGCCGAGCAGAGAGGTGAACAAGTGGGATGTGTGGACACTATTTTGTCTGGTTCTATAGGAGTGGGAAACGTCATTGCCCAAGGCCACAGGTGGACAGGAGTGAACCCTGATGAGAACAATAGAATTAGATGATAATAAGCATCCAAGTGGAGGAAAAATAACCAGAAAAAAAATACACTTACAGAACATTTGTAGTTCCAGCTACTCAGGAGGCTGAGGCAGAAAGACCACTGGAGCCATCAGTTTCAAGACCAGCCTGGCAACATTGTGAGACCCTTGTCTCAAAAGAAGGGGGAAAGAAAAAAAAAAGAGGGGAGCAGCCCATTTATAATAACTACAGTTTAAAAAAATGTGTCAAGAAGTGAAAAATTTCTACACTAACTATAAAACATGGATGAAAGAAATTAAAGAAATATGGGGAAATATTGTATTTTTATACAATTAAAAGAATTTTTAAATTTTTTTTAAAAATTTCACTATCCAAATCAGTGCATAAATCCAATGTATTTGAATTTATCAAATTTAATCCATACCAAAATGTCAATAACATTCTTAACAGAGAGTAAACACTACAAAAGTTCATAAGAAACAAACAAAAAAACCACCAAAAACCAAAGAAACTATGGAAATTATGTTCAAGAACAAAGCTGCCTCCAGCCAGGCATGGTAGCGCATGCCTTTAACCCTAGAACTTGGAGGCAAAAGCAGGCAGATCTCTGACTCTGAGGCCATCCTCGTCTATAGGGCGGGTTCTCAGACAGACAGGGTTATAGAGTGAAACCCCTTCTAGAAAAAGGAGCAGATCTGACTCCAAACATAGGACCAAGTCATGTAAGTAAAACAGCACGGTTCCGACAGGAAAAGATGGCCGAAGCAACACAGCATGATGCGAACTCAGAAATAAATCTGTGTATCTAGAACCAGTGAAGCTTCAACAAAACTGCCTGTCAAAAATTCCCTGGAAAATTAATGATCTGTTTAGTAAATGGCACTGGAAAAATGAGCTTTTTTTTTTTTTTTTTTTTTTTTTTTTTTTTTTTTTTTTTTTT